GTCACTCTTAAGCAGCTAAGTTTGGTACATATTTTGGGGAGACAACTTAAGAGAAATCCTTCTGTTCCCCACAATAGGGAATATTCTATTGTGGGCTTCGGGACACTTTCAAAATTACAAATACCACAAAGAAAAACATGCCGACACTTTAAAGAAAGACAGAATTGGCACTACTGGTTTTGCCCTTCGGTCCCGTTCCATTATGGCTCCACACAGAGCCAGACTTGGCACCGGTACTGACTCGAGCAGGTCAGAGAGGGGCTCTCCTGAAGAGTCTGCCCTGACTGGGAGTCCACTACAGGATAGAAAGTTACGCCTCTCTGCCAGGCAGGTCTGGGTAGGACAAAGTAGTGCCTAGAGCCTAATGCTGCCCCAGGACTTGGGAAGAGTGTGGTCAGTTATGAAAGGAATGCAAGGCTTGTTCTTAAAGCATCAGGGACTTTCTGCTCAGACACTGGTTTCTGAATACCACGGAGGTCTGGAGCAAATGAGATTTCAAGGTCTTCTCCCACATCCTGGCCAGGATGGTGAAAGGCTGGGGTTTCCCCACCATGAAAGCCTGGCATCAAGCAGACACTACACACATTGATGGATGGACCAGTTTTGCCATCTTCGGTCCCGCTGATACTAAACTTTCTGGCTTCCAGAGTCCCCCCATTGATCTTCACAGCACCTTGGTAGGGCAAGGGTTAGGCCACCATTTTTCAGATGAGCAGACTGAGGTTCAGGAGGTTCAAGTGCAAAGACACAAAGCTAGAGAGCCAAGTCAGAAATCCCTCTCATCGCCCGCCTCTGGCCTTGGCTGGGACTGTTGGGGCTCAGCTCCTGGAGCTCTGGGTTCAGGGCTGACGCTGCCTTGGATCCTGGTCAGGGTACGTGGTGGACTTTGAGGGCACCCAGAGGCCAATCTTATTCCTGGGCCTGAAGGAGGAGCCACGCAAGAAGGGCCAAAGGGCCTCGAGGCTTTGTTTGAAAAGCACTCCCCCATCTTTGCTTTGCCGATCGATCGGCTCAGGATCCATCGATCTGATAAGCACCATGCCAGAAAGGAGCCCATGTCCTGGGTGAAAGAAAGCACAATGCCTTCTGGGGAAGTGCAGAGGAGTCCCGTCCACCAGGACCAGAGTACAGGGCAGCTCCAGCTGCATGTGGGGCCTGCTCCTGGGAGTGGCCGTGGAGAGCTGGACTTGGAGCAGCTGCTGCAATCAGACCCCTCTCCTCCCCCCAGCCCCAGCCCCAGCCTTAGGTCCAGGCCCAGCCAAGTTCTGAGCTTGAATCCAAGTGCCCCAGAGCTAGAGAGAGCTCCAGAGACCATCCAGCCCGGCCCCTCTCATCACAGTGGGGAAACTGAGGCCCAGAGGGTCTGTGGGGCCTTGCTCCTTCTGGAAGCCTTGCTGACGCCCCCATCTCCCATCCCTCCTGCCAGTTCTGCAAAGAGGACAAAGGAGTGTACAGGGCGGTGGTTTCGGATGATCGAGGGGAAGACGACACCATCCTGGAGCTCACGGGTGAAGGTGGGAGCTGGCGATGTTAGAGACGGCCGAGGGGCACAGGGGCACGCGGGTAACAGAGACAGATGTGTCTGCTCAGGTAAAACGTATAGGGTTCTCATGCCACTTAGGGAAACTGAGACACAGAGAAG